AAGGAAAGTGTATAGACTTTATTATCATAAAAACAAAAAGTTTTTTAAGAACGTCTGTTTTTTTTGGGTTGGCAAAAGGATCAGCGGAAAGAGTTTTAAAAATAATTATATTATATCTTAATTATTTATACATTTTAATAATGATTCAATTAATTGCATCAAGAATCTATAAATTTCAACAACAAATATATTATAGATAATAAAATATATGTGATATTATTTATTATTATAATTGTTATTAGTATAGCAATTTATATTATTATTGTAATTATTGTAATTATAATTGTTGTTATTGAATTTATAAATTGAGTTAAACTGATTTTATTTATTTTATTAGAATAATATAATAAATTCTGATTAAACAGTAGTTACATATTACTCAATTGAAGAAAATAATATAGTACAGTAAATATTTATTAAAATAAAATTTTAAATAAAAATTATATTAAAACAAACATTAGATTTTATAATTTGGTTTAAGTATATTTTTTGAAAAATGTTTATAAGTTTAGTAAATATAATTATAATAATAAAAATGATTTTTATAATATTAAAAAAATATGGATTATAAAAAAACAAAAAAATAAAATACATTACTACAGGTTTTTCTTTAATAATTAAAAAATAAACAAGATTTTCAAATTTAAGTAGATTTTAATTAGCAATCTTATTTTATTGTATTAGTTGTTTTTAGTATTTTTGAGTTTTTTAAACAAAGATATATATAATTAGGAAAGTGTTTTTTTTTAAATTTATTAAATTAATATATTAAGTTACTTTAATATAAAAAAATACTTTAATATTTTGATTCTTGTTAGAATTAATCAAATTATTGAATTTTTTATCATACAAAACAAAACATATAGAGATTATATATCTTATTTACATTTTTTGATATACAGTATATCAATTAATATTTTAATTTTTATTTAAAATTTTTAGTATAACCAAAAATTCAAAGTATAAAAAGAAAAAACTTAAAAAAATGATTTGGATTTTAAAAATAAATAATTAACTCTTTTAACATCTTGAATTTTCGAAAAATATATATATATTTATAATATATGTTTTTATTAAAATATTTTTGATTTTATAAAAAAACTTATTAACAAAAAAATATTAAAATATTATGTTTTTTGAATTGATTAATAAAAATCAATAAAAAAATAAAATATTTATAATAAATTGTATACAAAACATTATATTTAATAATATATCAAAATTGATCCTTTAAATTATCACTTCAAAACAGCATTTAGTAGTTGCCATGAGGTTTTTATTTCACATAGACAATACACTTGATATGTTTTGTTTATGGATTAAATCATTGACTAGCATTGCTGTAATTGATTACAGTAATTGGTTATCTTTATGTCATTATTATTTTTCAATCGCCAAATCCATTATGCTTGTTTTTATGCAATTGACTTGCATGTTAAATTTTCTAGTGATAAAGATCTTTTATTTAAAGCATATTCTCTTTATTTTTTTTTATGAAAAGCATTTCCAATGTTGGACATTTGATTGTTTAATTACCATGTTGCAATAATAATACTGTACGTATATGAAATGCAGTAGTCAATCGATATGGGTTGTTTCATGTAACTCGCTATGCAGCTGGACCAAGTCCTATCATCCAAAATGGGTTAACCAACAATTACCATTATGAAAACAAAGTATCAGGATTTCTTTCTTTATTAGTCCTCTCAAAGATTTGATTCGATAGCGCAAGCCGTGACGAGCATGATGGAAATTGTAAAGCTTCATTGTAACAAATATCAAACAATAAACTTTCTCATCGTCAATAGAGACAATCGGGAAGCATTAGGATGCAGAGTGAACCCCTTCGTGAAGAGTTTGAAATCACCTTGCAGTAAAACGCCCTTTTCCACTAGTCAGCATCAAGAAGTCGACCTAACCGCATCCTTTACCATAGTTCTCCTGATACGGCGTGCATTTATCAATTAATAGAATATTTTCCGATAAATAAAAAAGGAACAAAGGTCATACATATCTTTCCAGAAACCCCATCACCACAATAATATTAACAATTATAGATTAAATCATTTCAAGAAAGGAAGCTTGTGTTCTGTTCACATCCGATGGCATTCATTGATCATAGGTGAAGAAGGAAAACGTGCCATCGTGTGAATCGCGCCAACTCCAAGTGTTTGTTAGGATAGGGGATGCAAACTTGATCGGAATAAGAAAAAAGTTTTCGATGTTTGGATGATGACGTACCAACCCAAACTTCATAACTGCGCGCATAGTTTCATAATCCCAAATCGGACTAATTATTTGCTCTAAAGGGAAAGTGTTGAGGGCAAGACGTAAACAATAAACATGACGTTTTTCGCCGCCGAAAACAATTATGTAATGCACCTCTACCTTTTATTCTTCATCGTTATGTGTAATTAATAATGATTGTTGTTACTCGGCATACACGCACATATGCGATTTGCCCAAATTCGAGTTTTCCTAATTAGTGAGATGGTGTCAAAAATTTCAAACAGGCAAGAGAGATAAATGGTAAGCACATGCGAAGGAAATTCGGGTGACGGCGAACGTTTTCAAACTAACGCCAAACGGGTGATGATCGAAAGGTTGCACCGTTACCACAAAAAGAGGTAAACAATCATATGGTCAAGCATCGCTTTGCATAGAAAATTACGTATCTATCCACATAAGTACCGTATCTATCTACGCTTGTTAAATGAGGAATTTGAGACCACAAATGAAATTCGGTATGCGCAAAACAGGCAGGTATGAAACACAAATTTCAATGTACACACACATAGGAATGATAACACAAAGCATCGAATCCATCATGATGACACAAAATGTGTGTGCGCGTATGAGTCAGGGCAATTTATACTTTACATGGATTCTCAACTTGTAATGGTTCTTTATGATTAAATAAATAAATGCCACCAACCTGATTGCGGGATTAAATATATATATATATATATATATATATATATATATATAATTATTTTAAAAAATTTTGAAAATTAAATTAATAGCAAATAATTTATACCATAT